CTGACTACAAAATTGTCGTACATGATGGATAAGTTTGTTGGGGTGCTTTTACCGCTTTCAGGTGATCTCAGAAACTCGAAAATATATGTATGTAATGTTCCGACGTCCCAAAAGTTGGTGACAACAACAGAAATGTGCAGAAATGTAACTGGATTCTTTTGTTCTGCTCGTTCATGAGAAAGGCACAACAACCTTCACTGTTGTGATATAAGAAATAAAGGAGAAAATATGTAGTTCCTCATAATAAAAGGTTCTTAATACATGTACAAGCTTAGATATTTCAGTTTTCATCCAATCACAATCTGACACATGTCACAGTGACGCAAACTCAAGAACTCGAGAACTATTGACCCAGCCTGAGTTTCATCCCGAGTTTCAGCCCGAGTTTCCGAGAAGAATTTCCAACTTAAGCAGTGTTTATGCCCATTTTTCCGAGTGGGAAGACGGAACTTCTGAATTTCTGAGGTTGCTTGAAAGCGGCATTTCATTTTATTCTCAAAAAGATTATCTAATCAGAAAGCAAGACGAACCTCACACAAGTCTGTCATGTGGGTTGCCAGTTGTAGCCTCTCTCCCGCCTGAATGAAAATATTACCGAAACCCCAGCACCAATTCTTCGAGTGCTTCAGTCATTCTTGGAGAAAGGCATCAAAGCAAACTGCAAGTAAAAGCTCTGGCAACCCAGATCCAGACGCCTTTAAACTATACTATCTCTGTGTGGTTCCACTCTTGTGCAACTATATACTGGCTGTGTCCAATGAATTAGATGCACCAATTAAATGTGAAGTAATTACACCCTACCTCGACAGATAGGATAAGATTACGCAGAAGTGTTTCATATTTAGATTAGTATAAATAAATAATTTGATGCTAAGTAGGTTCCACTAAGACTAAAGTTCAATCCTGAACAGCTAGTTTCCTGCTAATCATTTGTGCAATAGTACAAAGTATTATAGGAGTAGATTGGGTTACATTAACATTTCCCTTGACTATTTGCCCTACTTGAGACATTTCTATTGGAGAACAGACTTGGCTCTGCCCTCGGGAACCCTATGTGGAGCCTCAGCTGTCATAAGGGACTCAACATGGCTGCATCCTGGAGCCCCCTCTGCTGATCCTAAAATAGCATCACAAACTAAAGTGAAGGGAAAAGGCCAACAGTCTAGTCAGTACACGTGTGTTTTCTCCTATAGCTGAATGGGAACAGTCCATAGAGTTAAATGGCTGCATGTGCCCGGTCAGGGTTAGCTCTGCAGAGGGTACAGTGAGGCCCCATGTGTGTTAGAGCTGAAGGCAGGAGGCAGGCACTGGAGCAGGGCCACACACACATGCACGTCTGCTCTATACCCCCACACGTCCAAAAAGAGACATAGAAACAGAATGTTACAGACAAAGGAGATTCTCTGGAGAGGTTGACTGTATTTCATACAGTGGACAGAGCTGAATTGTTACATGATGTTTGTTTTGTCAGCAGATATGCCTAATCTAGAATGGTTTAACAAAATAATTTTAAACTTTGGGTCACATTATCCTGAATTTATTCAAACAAAAACTGTAAAGCTACAAGCAATTATCATACATTATTTTTGTGAGGTTATTTCTTACCTGGCTTTTGTATACTTATGGCATTTTCGATGTTTGTGTTCGATGCAGACAAATAAGCAACCGTGTCAGGTAGGTAATGTGTGTTGTATTTGAGGCTGCTGGGATGTGGATACTGCTGAGAAAGGACTGGAGGTTTAGCGGAGTCGTGCTGACCACCCGCTCCCATATTGATCTCAGCTGCGTTAGTTACGTCCAGAGTGTCCACTGCTCCACTGTGTCCTTATTACCTCTCAGAGGATGTGATTAAAACAACACAATCTCACAAAGCACATTTAAGTAGAAAACCAGTCTAGAATAATAACATATTACAAAGACTAAAGACCCCCACCCCTCTGCCCCTCCCTTCCGATAATAGATTAGTAACTATAGTATGTGACAGAGCTGTCATCTCTGCACAGTGGCACCTTTAAAATAGAATATAGTTTACTAATAATACAATTGTTTTGTTGTAGAAACAACAAAGCTTTATGGTGATATCAAAGCTGATGGAGAGTGTGGAACAGCGCCCCCGCTCTGAAGTAAACATCAATTACACAGCCTGGCCTGTAAGGCGTCAGGCGCAGGCTAGTGTCCCACAGGAGCAGAGATTAGGGCGCAGTCTGAACCTCTCACACTTGTGTGCGTGGAGCGGATGGATATGGCATGCATGCTTGGAACAGGTCAATGCTGACATGGCTCATGGATGGCAGTTCTGATCTCTGACCCCTAGGCAGTGGGCCTGCTATGTGCTGACCACTCGCTACATATGACTACAGCTGAGCAGGCTAACACTGCTAATCTATGCCCAAACACACAAAGAAGAGCAAATCATTTCAGACTAACTACTCCAGTGCCTTGTAGTAGTCAAGTATAATATATAATCCTACAGAATTATCTTCAAAATAACCCTTTAAGGCAAAGTTAGATCTATTTGAACCAAAGTAGAGAGTACACACTATTTGTTGGCCTCTGGTTGACATTTGTACACAATGCATGTCGTATTTGCACTTGTCGTGTTGTTCAGCTGGTGTAAGGATGTTGGGAGCAAATGTATTTTTCCCAGTTCTCCCCGACACGATGTGTTTGCGGCTGAGCAGAGAAAGCCCTTGTGTGCTCTTGTCCTTAAAAAATTCAAAGCCCTTGCTCAGAAAAAGAAGGCGCTGTTTTTTTTCTTTTCACACCCCACGACAACTGCTGATGTTGTAGTTATCGTGCAAAATTAATATTTACACACGGAGGATAGCGGGGGCGGTGTGAACAACTGTACCTTAAAGGTGTCTTTAAAGTTCAAAAAGTAGCAGCGTTATAAAGTCAACAGTGAGTGAGGTTTGAAACAACTTTTATTTTATTTTCAGGGCAAGAATAGTGGTTGGCCTGTTTCAGCTGGGTTCATCTTTATACAAAACAGTGCATTGGTGGTTTAAGGAAATAACCTTCAATTTCTCTTACAACATCTTTCACAATGTCATGTCTTTGTCCATATGTGCATGTATGTGACTTACTGTATATATAGCTCTTAATGATCACCAATGATAAGTTTCTCCATTATGTTCGCCTGACATTTACTGGAGAGAGGTAGTGATGAATCATGACTAAACTGGCTGTGTGCAAAATATGGCTTAGAAAAGATTACATTTACATATGTATAGATCACATAATGACATAAGAGAATGGAAAGGAACTCTAACACTTGGTTAAGTGAGCAATTGTAATTCAGAGTGCTGTCTAAATTTGCCATGCTTTCATAACGATACATGATTGGGATAACAGTTACAATTCAGAAAGTGTAGGAATCGGATATGGCACTGAAGTATTTGAAAATTATTCTACTTTACTTAAAATTAGGGCATTGCTCATGTTCTAGATCAGTGGTTCTCAAACTTTCCACTCAGACAACCGCACATCAAATATTGACTTCCCAACCGCATTTCTCAAAAAGACAAAATATGACCTAAAAGTTTAAAACAACCGCCGTCCAAAACTGCAACTTTATCTTATGCAGCGCCTGAACAAAAGGCATTACTAAGGAAGTCTGTTCAATCCAATGGTACGCACACACACACACACCACATTTTGAGAACCACTCGTCCAAAACATAAACCTAGGGAGTCAGTTACATCACAGCTTTTGGTTATAGTCTCAAAATGAAAAACTGATATGTCTCATTAGTAAAATATTCTGATTGCTACTTTTGCACCTTTTAATTTGGTCCATAACTACAAGCACATTTCTGGGTTCAGTTCATGTGACTTGTCTGAGGAAGCTTAACTTAAATGCTTATAGTGTTACACAGTGAATACTTGCAGCGGCCTTGCGTCACTCGAAATACTTCCAATATCTAACTTATCCCTTCCGATTGTAGTTACAAATTCTTTGCTGCCTATACAATGTTTTGGCTTGTCCCTATTGGGTGTATATAATCACAGCTCAGTGGTCTCCTCAACTCCACGGCCTCCGGACTAGCTACCCAAAGCTTGCTATAAAGGAAGACTGGCCCTACATGTAGCTGGGAGTCCCTCAAGGGAGTGGACTGGTACCAAGGATGTTTGTGGAGGCGAGGTGAGGAATGACATGGGGAAGGGAAGATGGCCGGTGAAGATATAGATGTGTGGAGTTTTTCGCTTTGTCGTGAATGTATAAAGATGAGATAGGGGTGATAGGAAGCACCAATGATCTAACAATACCCTCAATAGAAATCCTCACGTGGGAGTCGCACGTTTTTCCCACCACTTTCAACTGCAAATCTCCAGTCAGTGCATTTATAACAATTCTATACATTTGAGAACTGACTTGGAATCAGAAGAAAGGAGGATAGCCGGGAATGGGCGAAATTTACTTCAAGCTCAGCGTCTTCTTTAATGTGGTTAACAAAATAAATATGTATAGAATATATATACAATGTGGTAATAAATTATCATAAGTGCCACAAATGGACAATTCTTATTTTCGGGTTGAGCTTGAAATGAATTTGTCCATTTCCTGCCGTGACGACTCGATCCGTTCTCGTAGCTGCTTTGTACAACTCTGCCACTGCTGCTGCTATCCCAATGAGGAGCAGAAAGATCTAAGAGCGCAAGTGAAAAAACGCTCCTGCCTCTCACCTCTCGTCCCTTTCGTTCACATTATTCAAACCGGAGAAGTCGCCCCGGTTCGCGCCACGCATCGCTTTTTCGCAGTGTCACTTACGGTGGTGAAGTAGCCGCGGGTGGGGAACAACTTCTCCATTCCCAACAAAACAAAAAACAATAGACCCTGCTACACGATAGCACAGGGCTCAGAATTCACAGTTCGAAGGCTACAAGTTCACAGTTTTTTCCCCGCAAACCCCGATTTTAACTCCCTCCCTTCCAAACCCTGTGTTCCCCGTTTTTTAACGATAAACGCGTCATCATCCTCGCCGCTGATTGGCTGATTTCTCACACGGGGGTGGTCCGGCGGTTGGGGTCTTTGCTGTAGTCTTTCGTGAGCGTGCTGCTTTGAAGAAACTCCCTCTCCGAATTCAGCAAGCCGCCCATCCCGCCCGCTTTGGTGCCCGCGTTGCCCGGCTCCCGTGGGTTGAGGGTGTACATGGGCAGGTCGGAGGCGGCGGGGCCCGTGTAGCCGCCCTTACCCAGCGGCGACGCGTCTCGGCTGGGGGCCTCGGAGGAGCGCACGCTGGAGCGGCGGCGGAAGCGGTAGCGGTAGGAGGGGATGCGGCTGAAGGCGGACTTCTTGATGAGCTCCGTGCGGGACTTGGCGCGTAGTTTGCGGTGCTTCTCGATGAACATGTGGACGGCCAGGACCCCCACCATCTCGGCCATGATGAAGGACAGAGCGCCGAAGTAGAAGGACCAGCCGTACGAGTAGGACTTCTTACTGTCGCTCTGGCCCGGGTCGCCCGAGTTAGCCGAGATGTACACTATGATTCCGATAATGTTGCTCAGGCCTGGAGAGGGGAACAAAACAGGATTAAAATGGAGATATTGGGCAAAAATGGTGTCATCATTGCTTCCATTCTTATTCACACTCTCAAATTTGTGTTTATAGTTTTTCTCGCATGCCTGAGTGTTTTATATTCTTCTTTCAGGATGTCAAAATGTGTTACTAGTGACTCAGCACTAGTAGTTATAATATTGTCATTTATAACTATGTTCGGCAAAGGCGTCTCTATGGATCTGGAAAAGACGGTGGATTTTCACAGTGATATAAAATGTTTTAAATCAAGTCTAATGTGTTGAAACTAATATGTTCAATTCAGATTCTGAAATCCAAACATGACAAGTAACTAAGTATTTTTACTTGAGTATTGTTCAATGGTTTTTTGGTGTTTCAAAAGCTTGAAATGTCATAATTACTATATTTGCAAAAATTTTATTCATATTTTACTGTTTTATTTGAGCACATTACTAAAGCTAGTAGTTCTATACTAATACTGAAGTTAAGGGAATTATGTCAGTACTTTTACTTTTACCAGACTTTATCTTTAATCTGGCATCTATACTTCACTTTTTTCCCCAAGACATATTTTGCCACCTCTGCTGCAATCTTCCTTATTATAAATCGTTGGGTCACTATAATTACTTACTAAATACTTGACTTCCTTCACCTTAAAACACATGTATTTACTTGATTTTGAGACGAAAAAACCGTTTTCAGTCTTAACCCTTTAAGGATCACCTAATTTCGCCTGCTCCTTCTCGAATTATGATACCCAAATGAAAATGCTTATTGTGTGGACATCTTGTGTCTGATGTTGTGTTATGATGCCTCATTTGAAAGGTAACACCTTCTAGTTTCTGAAAATGTATGTTACAGTTTGTTAGGAAGGACACAGTCTGCACTACACCTTCTCAAACATGAGTCAAAGTTAGTTTTTTTTTGTCAAAAAAAAAAAAAGGCAATTTCAAAAGGTTCTCCTGAAAACATACTTTATGGTATGATGTTCAAACTCACCAGAGCAGATGTCTGTGGTGTTGGAAACACCTGTATGAAATTTTAGACCTTTAGGTGGAACTATTTTGATGCTGGGGGCTTTTTTGTAACTAATGGGCACATTCGGCACAAGTGGTCCATTTTTGTGCCAACTGTGCCAAAGTGTTTTACATGCAAATTATCAATGTTTTTACACCAAAAATCCATGTATATATATTTTTTGGCTATTACTCTTGCTATAAATAGCGTTTTTCCAGATATTGAAATGTTTGCAGAAAAGCTATTATTTATATAGTTATAGCGCGTGTTCTCCGTGAAAAAGGCTCCGTCTTCCTCTTTACGCATTCAAATATGACGGGAACAGTGGGAGGAAGCTAGAAGTCCGACACATCGCCTGAAACCTGAGATTATTGGCTACAAGATGATTTGATTGACATCCAAATCGGCCAATGGTAGTCAAGACAATGCTGTCGTGACGCACAGATATCTATATGACTGGAGCGCTAAAGCTAGGTGCGCTTGTTTTACTCAACTTACTCTACCTTCCAAACCATAGCACTGAAAAGTCCGGGAATGGGCTTGTTTTGAAGGGGAGGCTTAGGGGAAGACGAACATACCCAGTGACGCTAGCTAAACAGTAAAATGTCCTCTTCATACAGTGCGCAGAGAACAGGTTTTGTTTTTGTTTGTGCAACTTTCAATACTCAAATATGTTGTTACAAGTGGATATCTACTTTAAGGATTACTTAAAAAAAAAAAACAACTGGATATAATTATTCTCTAGACCCTAACGGACAAAAAGTATACACACATGTGTGGATTAAACGTGATTTGCCCCAGAATATTAGCATGAAAAGGTAAGAAAGGACAATATATATTTGAAACATATATACAGTTTGACTACTTATTCTTACTTTTGGTTATATTTAATGTTTATTTGAACATAATACGCGTTTAGAGGTGGGAATAAGCTTTCAAAAGAGATATAGCTTGACTATATTGACACAAGTGAATTCTAATACTGATGCTGTTAAATGAAAAATAACTGAATCCTCCCTGTACAGGGAGGGTGATCCTTAAGAGGTACTGGATCCACAGAATGTCCTCACTGATCTGCTTACACTACCAAACAGCAAACAGCCCACTTCTAAAAATAGCAGCGCACTCAAAAAGTATAATACAGTACATTTGTCCAAAGTCCAAATTAAATGAATGTCAAATGGGATTGCTGGCCATTGTATACCATTGCTCAGAGCAGAAAGTAGCAGGGATTTGAAAAAGGAGCAGACGAAAAGAATGATTGCAGTCAGTGTGCCCTTCATACTATAGATTTTGATTAGAGTAAATGCGGTGTGAAAGTGACTCTTTCAAAGTGAAATTACCTTATTATTGTGATTAGTAACACTTCTGTTCAGCCGCTAACGTAAACACACAGCACTGAGCCATCTGTGAAATGGAAGACTCAAACACAACATGGGGCTGTCTTTCAACAAACACGTGTAAGAAGAACGCTTCGAGCGACTTGAGAGAGGGCTGTGTCAAAAGTCCAAATATTGCTATAAGATCGTGATTATTGAGACTTGAATTTCAAAGAGGTATTAAAAGCATTATTTAGGTAAAAATACAGTCAGGAAGACATTCAGCACGGGTCAAATGCAGAGGACAAATCTCCCTATGGGGACTACAAAGTATAACATCATTTAATACATTTATTTATTTTTAATGATGAGACTTCTTCTCTGACGATGTTCAAATCCAGGTTAAAACTTTTCTGTTTAGCTGCGTATACAAGCAAAGGATTGTACCTTCACTCTTTTTAATATCCTGTGATTATTTATGATCTTGTTGGAAAGTTTTGAGTCCTATCTTAAGACGCATTTTTACTCTCTGGCTTTTAGCTCCGCGTGAGTTGTGTGGTCCTTCATTTAATCTGTCTGATTTATTTTATTGTTTTTGGTTTTACTTTTATTTTCAAATTAATGTATTGTTTTTATTACTTTTGAATTGTTTTTACAGCATACATGTTTTAGTTTTTTTTTTTTACATGAAGCTGCCAAAACTGTATATTTAAATGTGTCACTATTATCTCTGTGCAGCACTTTGTTTTATAAATGTGCTATATGCATAAAGTGGATTGGATTGTTCTTGTTAAGCGCCTTGTGTATGAACTGTGCCATACAATAAACTTGCCGTGCCTAGATTGGAGGTAGGATTAAGTTTCCCATTTTGAACATTTACGTGATTTTATTTGTATTGACTTTTCTTTAAACACATTGAGATATTGTGCATATGAGATATTGTGCATATGTTCAAAATAAAAGAACCAATAAAATAAATCTGCAGGAGGAGAACATTTAAAAAAAAAATCTCCTAGATTGCCCAGGCCTAGCTTGAGCGGTAACAGTAGAGCAGTATGTCGAGGAATAATAATCAGTTTTAGAATGAAGAATTAACCCAATCTACGTTCTAAAAATACACAATGTTCCTGTTTAATAATCAATAACATCAGAATGACAAACTCCAGTGAAAGTTCTAAGACAGACTTAAAGAAGGGGGAGTATAATTTGACATCTGCCACAATTTTATATCTATATCATTACACCCAAACTCAGAGCTCACAATGCAGTCAATTAGCTCACTGCAATTACCCACAATCACCCTGCATTATTGAGGGAAATAATTACCAATTTGGTGTTGAGATTTTACTACAGAACCCGATAGGGCGCTGCACATCCCAGTGAGCAGCAATTACTGGTCTTTGTGCGTGTGAAAGGCCAGGACACGAGTGAGGAGGCCCCCGGGTGTTAGTACAGTGCAGAAGGAAATCCTCGCAGGACTTCACCGAGGATCGATTTGGCTGCATCCGATTTGCACACTCTACACTCCTCAGGCCATTCTGTGAACGCTAAAGAGCTACATGCGTTTCCTGCTCAAATATTTGGGAGAAATTCTGCTGCATAAAAAGGGGGCCATATAAATTTGTCACCAAAATCACAGAATATTTCATCTTTTATCAGTCCTTTGCCGGTTTCAATCAATCCATCATTTCATTACTTGTACAAAACTATTTTAACGAAATGACAAAGCTCTGCAAAGTAGTGTCCCACTCTCAAATATACACTATTTGTCAATTATTGAACAAAAAAGCCTTTTTTTTTTTACTTGAGTACAAGCGAAAGGTTTTACTTTTCTACTTTTACTGTAGTAAGTTTAATAATCAGCTTTTAATAATGTTTTGATTGTTTCTCTATCTTATGTTTACACGTGTCTGGGAAGTTTATGCATTGTTCTGAAAATCCTTGTTTTCATTGGTGACGCAAAACACAGATTTTTATTACTCTTAAAATACGCATTTTGAAAATCCAACTATATAAATATGATCCACTGATGTTGATGATTTTTTGAACCCTCAGAGCTAATGACTTACTCCCTCAATAGTTACTGAAAATGGCAAATAAATGAATCTGAATCTGAATCTAGTCTAATCTGTTTCTGCACAATAGTATACCCTTTATACTTTGCTTCTTAATTAAGCTAAGAGAGTGCTATACTTCATATTGCCTCATCTTGTGCTGTGAGCCCCTCGTTCCTACTGCTCTGTAACTGAACCACTGAAATGTACCCCACTGTGGGACGAATAAAGGATCTCTTAATCTGAATCTGTATGAAGACAGAAATACAACATTTTAACTTCAACTAGCGATTTCACACCAATCACATGTTTACCGTTTGTCTTCAGTCACAATGAATAGTGCGAATATTTTGACGCTTTTTCCGGCATCAAGACACAAACTGGATCCTATAATACTGTTTGTTTCTCCACTTCTTCTCACTGCACCAGCCGCCTTATCCTCTCCATCTCCTCCTTTCCACCACTGCCACCACCACCACCACCAGCCCCACTTCAGCACATGTGTCCAAACGTACCAGCAGAGACAAAGAAGATGCCCGCGCTCAGAATGACGTTGTGCCGACTTCGGTAGAACTCACTGGCCGCCACGCAGAGCCCCCCGAGGAAGAGCAGCCCCACGCTCATGATGGGGAAGATACTGGAGGCCCGCACTGCACCTGGGACGCCGAAACAGGAGGAAGCAGAAGAAACAGTGCATGAGACAAAAGTATTGAAAATGTAGCAAACACAAAAAAATAAATGATAGAAGTGGACAGATGGCTTCTGCATATGCGAAGACAACAATGATAAGACGATGATGGATACAAAACATTTTCCATAATCGCGTATGTGCAGACTGCAGAGGAGATCACACCATATTGAGACGCACTAACAGCTTGTCATGCAAAGTATTCCCCAACCGGTCACTGCAAAAACTGTAAATATTAGAAAGTAAATGCTCAAATGAAGAGATTTTTCTCCTGATTTAAGATCATTGTGAGTGTCTTAAAACAAGAGTTGCCAATGGGACGGTTTCAAGTGCAGTAGCAATGTTCCTTTGTGCTCATTTCACAAACAATTTTCAATGTGCTGCACAAAAAAATCTCTTAGTAATCGTGATCTGAGTCTGCCAGCCAAGTCAAATCAGAATATACCAAAAAGAGATACATAAAGAAGTATATACTGTAACAAGCAATACAATTAGAAATTAAAAACAATATATATATATAAAACAGTGAAAATGATCTTGTCTTTCAAAATATAAGTTAGATTTGGTTGTCCAATTGGCAAAAATCAGTTTGCAAGAGACAATTTTTAAGATATTCCATTTCATTCCAACTTGTATATTGTGACCTTTTCTGAGCAAAAGTTTAAACCGGAGTTATTCGTAATTAAAAATACAATGGATGAAAAAACATTTTTACACAATATTTATGGACATTTATTATGCAATCAGAAAGCAGAATGAGGTCCACATTTGGGTTGCCAGTTTGTCAGGAGGAGTTTAGCTGTTTATGGCTCCAATCTTTTATATATTGACAAAATTCACAAATATAATAATATCAACATATTTGTTTAAATGAAAACAATCACAAACATCAGCAGTCATACGCAGCACAGAGAGTTCTAGCCAGCCCCCAGCAGACAGATTGCATCTGTAATTGCTGCTTAAGAGATACATGTGTAATGGGCAACAAAAGTGTGATCGAAATAGTCATGACTTTATTAGACCACTAAAATTGCATATTACATGCTGTCCCTTTAAGGCATAATTTAACCTAATTCAAGCAATTTGTGACTAAGTTCTAGTCATTTTGTGGTCGTTCTCCTTCAGACATGAGCAGTGTCCAATGGCGTTGTGCAGCCACTGCCCGCCTCCCACCCTGCCCCACTCCTTCAGGCTGTTCAAAACACGGTCACTAGGTCCTGGCCCCTGAATGGCTGAGCGGCTAAGAGTCCGGTCATCCCATTGGCTGCCTCTGGGGATGCTACGTTGTGTGTTTAGTCAAGCAGAGGCCGCATCCATTTTCTATGTTTGTGGTTTCCTTGGCTCCATCCATCCCCACTGCATTTGCTTTGACCGCGCTCCACTCCTACCCGTCTCGTGATATAGCTGGATGTAATCTGGAGTATTGCATCTCCACTTTGTCATTTTGTGATTGTGCCAATGTTTGTTTTGCGCCGTATGTATGCGGCATCTGTTACAATCTCCTCCAATGCTCGTTCAAGCCTTTGCACCCATTTGTCACTCTTGCAGTTGAATGCTAATCACTACACACAAGATTCTTGGAGCTTATTCATTTATCTTTATTCTAACTAACAGACTGTCTTGAAAGGGCACTCTTTATAACAGCATCTAGTTTACAGGCTCTTCTACTTGGTCTCGCAAAGCATTCACATCATAGACTGTATTTAGACGTTAAAAGGCAACCCCACAAGTTCAATGAAGCCCAACAGGGAAGTGCTCATGGACAAAGTTTTGCTCCAACTCGTTCTGGCTCCCATAGACTTACACTGAGAAGTAAACTTGTCTGGCTCAGTAAGCGTTTGTGTCACACTCACCATTTTGGGTTTTAAAAATCCCTGGTTTAACCCTTTAATGTTTACTCCTCAAAGAAAGCAATGTCTTTTTTCCCTTTCCTGTTTTTTCTAAGATGTAGGAACACTGATAACACCAATAATGTATTTTTACTTTTTTTTTTTAACCCCAATTCAATTATAGGCTTTACCAAATGGATTAGATGCAGTTTGATGGTAAAATTTCCAAAAACCAAGTGAGATGCCCCAATGAGGTAGCTTTCAGTTCCAAGCTTAAACTAGATATATTGACTCAAAAGGTGATCTACCAATGGTTGGGGAAACCATTAAAGCAGGGATGTCAAAGTAAAATACATCAGAGGGCAAAAAAACAGGGCCGGACTGGTTCAATATTTATCAAAACATAATAAGATGATGCATGTAAGTTATTGAACAAAGACCTAACACAGTGTACTGTATTTTATTTAATGATTACATGAATAATCCAATATTTTTGTATGGCTCTGTCTGTCATTTTAAGTGATTTTTCTTTCAACAGACTCAGACAAAAACAAAGTTCCCTCAAAGAGAAAACACATGTCCTAAACATTAAATAAATAATCCAATATTTTCTTTTGGCTCTGTGATAGGCCGGTTCTAATACTAATCAAATATCTTCCCGGGGGCCAAGATAATTCATTGGTGGGCCGGATTGAGCCCCCGGGCCTCGACTTTGACACCCATGCATTAAAGGATTGCGCTCTCTATGATCCTGGGGTATATATTTCAATATTGCCTTTGACCTTATTTTCGAAAACGCTTTTATCTTTTCTCTTCTATCTTGTCTCGATTACCCACGGACTCAAACGGAACGTCCCTCCCATATTATTACGCCCACACTAAAGTTGCAGACAGTTCCAACAGGAGACAAAGTGAATGTGTAAACTTACGGAGGAGGTATTCGGCGGCATCTGCTTCGTAATCAGCGTCCTCGGGAAAGTGATCAATCTTCTTACACACGCCTCGAAATGTACCTGCCCAGAACAAACACATCCTTAGAAGATTTACACACCATTTGTCCTGTTTAGACTGAACTGGCGCCCATTCTTCTCACTCCTTTGCAGCTAAAAGCAACGATGGAAGTCAGTGGCTTCATTCACCACTTTACTTTGTTAAATCGGAACACATAACAGAAAGCGTACATGTACACACACATTTTAAAGGGGACATATAATGCAAAATTGAGTTGTTTTTAGATCCACTCATGCTAAGATGGTCTGGCACAAACATGTATCTCTGCCCATTCTGTCTAAATTGTTCTCGGAGATATCTACCTGATCTTTCTGACTTCCCAAATCAAGAGCGTTCATGAGAAGCAGGTGGCACACACATGCCCGCACGCACACACACGCACACACATGATACACATGATACACATGATAAAGGCTGAGAAACAACTATTTTCATATGAGCAAGCCAGGAGCAAATATGTACTTTTTTATAATAAACGTGCTTAAACAATTACAATCTTAGATGATTCTGTAAAGCTTTTGTGGCCATAAATTCACTAATTATAATTTTAAATAGATTTTGGTCTTTAATATGTTTATATTCCAATATAAAACCATCAGTGAATGTAATGAGTTCGGACGATCGGAGGCTTCAATGCTCCGGTGTTTTCGGCGTCTCGCTTCAGTTTGGAGTGAAAGGTAAAATATCGGTAGTCCAAACACATTGTAAAGCAATTTGTGTGACCTTGCTCTGTGAAATGCGTTATATAAATAAAGATGACTTACTTACTGATATTCTCTGTCAGTATGAAACCTTTCTGTATATTGTATGATGTCTCAAATATATTCAATTAGTCAACAATAATGCATTTTACCTTTTACTATTTTAAACATACGGAAGCTTGTACTAACATATTTGTACTAGTATCTATTCTTGGGTTTCATTAAACTGGCCTGTAGGGGGCGAATGAGCAGAGGTGGGACAACTCAGTTTTGCTCCCATTGAAAACCATGTAAATCTTTTCTGTTTTGGAGTCAAAAGGCTCTCCTCCTGTGCGGTGTACGGTTGTTGTAACAGTCTTAATCGGGGACACTCAATTCTAAGGGAGTACTACAAAACATTTCTCAAAAGAGTCTTGATTTCGGGCATTTTTGAAAAGAAAAAGAGAAGAAATTGCTGCGTTTCATTCGGGTGACCTGCAGGGGGCGCATATCTAGGAAAGCCTTGATCCACCTCACCCGCCTCATTCGAGTGATTTTTTCAAAGTGTCCTGTCCTCCTTTATATGAGACCACAGTTGGAACACAAAAGAAACTCTTGTCTTTCTCTCCGTTTGCGTGGTTGCTACAAGCGTACACCGGACAAAAAGATGGCCTTTTCACTGGAGACTTCAGCGCTTCTTCTTCTACTATATCTCCGTGTATAAACCCGGCAGACTGCACCGCGACGGGTGCATCACGTGCAGTGGAGGCGGGTCCCGGCTTAAATCCTTCGGTTTTGTTTAAATCCACACTTTAGTGCCACAAACTCTGCTCGTCTGGCTCTCGCTCTAACTCCCGCTCTGATGAACTGCTCTGATTGGTCAGAGTGCGGCCGAGCCCCTCTGTGCACGTGCGTGAGACCCGGTGTGAGACCCACACACGCGTGTTTGGTGCAACGCATTATGGGAGATCATCCACTGCGCAAAACCGGGAGGACCAGACGATGCCCAAATACAGGCGAGTTTCCCATAGATCTTTGCGAGTTCCAGGCGACTTCCGCTAATCTTTCAGCCCCCATGCCGTCACAAAGCGCCACTGAGCACAACCATTCATTTGAATAGGGCGCCATCTTGGATCGCCGGGGCTTGGCAGGACCACTCGCGGCCATTTTGGATAGCTGCAGTAGAGAAATTTTTTTGGCCCATTTGTTTGAACGGCGGAGATAGGTACGTTTTTTATTTGCGCCACTGCCCTGACGTCATATGAAACCCAAGAATACTTAATTAAGTACATTTTCCACCTCTTACATTTATCCCGACAGAATAGCGGTCATTATTACTCAAGATATATGTGCTCCATAGATCTTACCAACACAGAGTCATATTTGGCAACAGTTATACAATTATGTTTTGCACTTTTTCCTGGCCCATTTTTCACACTTTTCCCAAAAAAGGATTGGTGTTTGAAGACCCTTGGGTTAGGGGAAGAACTCAATCCATTGCATCACCTCATTGAAACTTGACAGATTACTATTTGGAGTTTTTTGCCACAGGCTGATACCTCTCATAAAAAGTAAAACAACCCTGTGGCTTTGTTAATCAAGAAAGAGGGTAATTTTATTTAATTGATGATCTTTGTAATTGGTTCTGGTGCAGCTGTTTCCAAAGTCTGTTTGTTTTGCAGCTGCGTCTAAAGACTTGCCAAAGTCGGATTTGGCACAATACACTTTTGTTCTGATTAAAAAGGGAATCACAGAAATACCAGCACTATCAATAATACAGCATCACCAGTGTCCACTTTAAAACGACAACATCAAACACAGAACCCGTTGGACCACGAGCCGCAACTTGGAACTAATGTTAAAATCCTGCGGCCAATGTACATGTATGCTTTTCTATTGTGTTAAAGCTACAGAAAGGATCTCCAGAGCTGATAGATTCCTGCTCCCCGGTGTGTTTATGTGAACAGCAGAGAGATGTAAGGAAGCGCTGGGAAATACGAAGGACTTCATTTTTGACACCATCAAGTTTTTGAAGGAATTTTATTGTCAAAATAAACTAAAACAACTTTGTAAAATGTGCTGAATCTTTAAACATTGTTTCTTTTTTTAACTTCTTGAGAACATGCTATAAAGTAGAACACCTAATCACTTCTGAGAGAGAAAGGAAAAATTATCTGAAGCGTTGGGCCAGCATTTGAGATGATGTCACAAGCAGAAAAAAATCATGCCAGTTAGTAATTGAGTAGGTAGTATTTTTGTTATTGTATATTTTATATTGTTGTATATTTTCATTTTTTTGACACTCAACTTGTGCTGGTATTGCGGCTGAAGGGGAAATCGTGAATGGTTAGGTGAGTGGATGTGCCTGTATATTTTGAGGGTATGAAGTATGAATGCCTTTTTTATTGATTGTTTGCTTTATTGTTATTTTTGTTATACATTTTGTTATATATATTTTTGTTTTTGTGTGTATACTTTCTTTTGTAATATTAATAACAATTTAAAAAAAACTTGACTTGTTAAAGCAGTTGTTTACGTTGTATTGTTTTTCTCCATCAGGATTAAATGTAACGTTACAACATGACAATGCAGCCTGGATTCAAGTGCGACCTATATGTATGTGGACAAAAGTATCTGGAGCGGTTAATCTGCAGGTTCACTTATGGTCCATCAAGAACTGCAAACTCTACACATGACAAACGATTTGATATAAATTATACTGAGGATCAAACGTCTTGATATAGTCCCAAATATAGTGTGTATGGAAAACGTTTCACACTGTCAAATTGAATCCTTTTCCCATGTATTCGCATTAAGAGCTCAGACCAAGTGAATGAATACATATATATATATATATAAAAAACAACATTTAAACAGCCAGTAATGTTTTGCCCCCTTCTTCTTCTGCAGTGTTTGTGTCACTTTTACACTGCACCAAAACGACTCTTGATTTACCACTGGCTCGGTAACTTTTCGTACGCGGCCCCACTGCACCAAATCCCATCTTCACAAGATTGAACAATGACACGTCCCTGTTGCTTAGATATGAGCACACATCAGGAGCAGACAATGCAAGATGCGGGCGAGGGGGCGAGAGCATGACAGATGATACGGGACAGTGCAGGAGCCTCCGGGCCGTGCCAAAGAAACACTAATGAAAAGCCTTATCACACATGCAGGTGCGCACGCTCAAAGCACTATCGCCACATGTGTTTCCACCGGAGGGAGAGAAAAACAGACGTCAGTGAAGGCAACGCCAAGGCCAGCTCATTAAAGCAATACAAGGAGTCTATCAATCACACGCGGTCATAACGCTCTGTGGAGCCGTATCAGCGGAGATAGGGCAGAGAAGCGACGAGTAAAGCAAAGAGATGTACAGAAATGATTAATACGGCATCATAGAGGGAGAAAACTCTATAATAAGTTCACGATTTGTTTGTCTCGACAGGAGTGAAAGTAAATATAATATTGTGAAGTAATCAGACCTAATCAGACTTATTAGAAAACATGGTGCTGAGTGGATAGCACTCTCGATTCTCAGCAAGAAGGTCCTGGGTTCGAATCCCGGTCGGAACAGGGCCTTTCTGAGTGGAGTTTGCATGTTCTCCCTGTGTCTACCTGTTTCCTCCAGGTGCTTCGGTTTCCCCTACCACTAAAAACATACACAATAGGTATGAATGTGAATGAGAGAGTGAATGGATGGTGTTGATTGGAGGCTTTGATGGTCGAGTGTGTTCGGCGACTCGCTTCCGTCATCACCGTGTGTGGAATGATTGGAACAATATCTGACTCTGAACATTGTAAAGTGCTTTGGGTGCCTCAGGGACTACAGGTGTAAATTAGCACTGCTGCTACAACCTGGTACAAAGCATCTCTCCTTTTGGCTAATGTTTACTGTACACTGTCCCTGTAAAAATAAAAACCATACCATACCTTGGTCTGTAAAATGTGCTATATAAATAAGCATGACTTACTTGCTTACTTACATTACTTACTTATCTTTGGCATTAAGTACTTGACCCCTGGGTGTTACTCTTTGTGCTGATTGGCTGAGCAACAGTTGTCCTCTATTTTACACTTAACTGTCAGAAAAAGCTGAAGGTGTTTTGAGAGCGAGGATAGTTAGATGGATTTTATTACATGGTTTCATTTTTTAGAATAATTTGTGAAACATAAGTACCCCAGCTTTAAGTTTGTTGAGGACATAAACACAAACCATTTACTCTCTTTCACGCCTCATCCATGTTGAGAATTACTCTGCATTTTCCTCAGATCTAGAGCGAAGAAGCACCAGAAGCACGTCAAGTATTGTTAGTCACTTG